GCTTACCAGTGCTCGTCACAGCAAGAAGGAACAAAAGTGCCAAAGACATCCCTGAAAAAGAAACAAAAAAAATGAACAACCGTTTCAAGAATACGACATTTTAGTTTGTTGCAGCATCTCAGCGTCCGCTTCAAGGGTAGCTCGCGAAGAGGATGATTTTTGTTTTTGTCCGAAATGTTCCAATTGTTTCATTTCCTGACAAGAGGAAATGAATGACAGCGAAAACCATAGAGGTAGCAAATTGCGCGTACTCACCCATCATGAGTATCGCTGTTTCAGTGCAATCGTCTGTTCTGCGTCTCCTAGCACTGACGCTGAAATGGAAATGAAGCAGGGTGTTGTAAGGTTTCATAGAGGCTATTTTTAGGGCAAAGACTTGATTACTAATGGGTGCATTCCCTTCTCTAAGAAACATCTAGAAAATGATATTGCGCAAGGCCAGCTGGGTTACATTTGGTTGCACATTCATTTCTAACTTTTTTTAACTAGTTCTTTTCTAAAATGACAGTTACTATGCACGGCTGATTTGGTCAAATATTTGAAATCTTGGTGGAAACAATGAGGCCTGTATGGTTGTTTCGAAGTCTGCCTGTGGGTGAAATGGTATAGCCATGACAGTGATGTATGTTTTTTATGAGACCCAGAGCCCTGAACATTTCGTGATAGATCTGTATAATGAGGGGGTTAGAGGGTTGCCTTTGACTTACCGCACGATCCTGTGTCAATCGATCCTGGTTTACAGTGTTTACGGTTTTCTTCAACAAAAGCAGATCTATGTATCGAGTTGCACCGTTAGAGGTCGCTGATAAGTATGACGCCAGTTTGTTTCCTAAACGATCACTACTGTACTACCGGTCTTAGGTATCGTGTCGAATGGATATCGATAAGTTTAATTACGATTTCGATAAATGAGAGATCAACGCTCGAAGATATTTCCGTGCCTAAACCGAAAATGTCTGTTTGTCTGAAGTTGTCATAAGTCTCTTCAGATACACGACTCTGAGAAAAAGGTAACAACGGGGAGACCTTCGCCAGTCCACATCTTGATTCGGGACACTGTCCTCTGTGGATGTTTTACATCATGTGCCTTTTTCAATTCAAAGTACTCTAAGCTACCGTGCACCATGGCAATGTGATGCCAGTCAATAAAACTGTCAAAACCGTCACGGGTGTTCGCAGCTGTCACTGGCTGTTTCAAAAGCGCGCCCTCTGCTTGTATCTCTGCCGGTTTATTTCAAACTAAGTCTTGAGAACTGTGACTCAGTGTGGCCACGCAGTATAATGGGGACAGCGTTGGACGCAGCGAGCTAGAAGCAAATCTCTGTATGTGTCCACTGACTCTTCGTAAGGGGTCGCCGCTTTCAAAATATCGAAATAAATCGGAGTCTCGTAATTAATTGTTGCTCCAAGTACCGTGCACCCCCCCACCCACATAAGTGTGTATTTG